GGATGGATGATGGGTGGATGGATGGATGAAGGATGGATGATGGATGGATGATGGATGGATGATGGGTTGATGGATGGATGGATGGATGATGGATGGATGGATGGATGAAGGATGGATGGATGTCAGGTGTTGTTTTTTTTCTATCTGGATATTTTCAGTCACTGAGCTGCTGTTATTTGAATCATATCTAGTTTTTAAACTGAAGCCTCATAGTAATATTTAAATAAAAGAAAGTTAAAAGAGTAATTTAGCCTCTCCTTCTGTACGTGATCTGTTACGTAATGACGCACGCAGGGGCGGGAATTAAATGCTAGCCGGGATTCCTGAGGATTACCCATCATGCCCCGCGGGTAAAGATGGCAGCGGATCAACTTTTCCCGGAGCGGCTCTGAGCGGATTTTACTCCCAGGAAAGGAGCCCCTCCGCGGGCCGCTGCTGCCATCTCTGACCGCTTACCTCGGACCTGCCAGAAGCTCCGGACCGCAGCGCTGCTTCCGGGAGTCGGATCGGTCCGGAGCCTCCGAACCTGCTCTAACAGCCCGAGGAAGAGCCTCGGATCTCCTGCTGAAGTTTGTCTGCCCTCGGTGGAGCCGCCCCGGGCCGCACTGGGCCGCGCTGACCGCCCCTCAGGTAAGCTGCCAGCGGTCTGCGAGGGTTCCGGGCGGTTCGCGCGGGGCCGACCGGCGCCTAGGAGCGTTCAGTGTTTGTGGGGATGGTGGTGAGGGAAGTGGGCCACGGTGTGACCGGTAGCGGCACCGAAGCCGCTGCTCCAGCTTCATCGGTGCATCGGAGGACGGAGACATGGAGGTGATCAGGGACGGTCCGAACCGGACTGCTGCGGCCCGAACCGCTGAGTCCGGTTGGTTTATTAACCGCAGCCTGCAAGACAGTACCGAGGGCATCAGCGTGACTGCGCCTGACAGACAGCTGAGTGGAAAAACACTCTGAGGCTCCTGCAGCCAATCAGAGGGCAGCAGGAGGAACCAGGAGGTGTTCAGAGGGAGCAGCAGGAGGAACCAGGAGGTGTTCAGAGGGAGCAGCAGGAGGAACCAGGAGGTGTTCAGAGGGAGCAGCAGGAGAAACCAGGAGGTGTTCCGAGGAAGCGGCAG